CTGCCCCAGGCTTCCTGGAATCAGCCGCTGATCAGTTTCAGCAGCAGCTGACTTGGGGACGCCTGGGGTTCTTAAGTTGAATCTGTATGTAAGTCAGAACTGGCGTCCAGATTCAGCCGCGGTTGAAACTGATCAGTTTCAGCAGCGGCTGACGCCAATTCCGACTTACATACAGATTCAACTTAAGAACAAACCTACAGTCCCTATCTTGTACGTAACCCGGGGACTGCCTGTATTCAGCTTCCTCTGATCGTAACTTAAAGCAGGGTTAGGGAAGCTTTTTTGGGATGGGGGCTGCTGACCCACGGAAAAATCAGTCGGGCGGGGGGCTGCAGGGGCTGGAGTGCCAATGTGGGCTCCCTGATGCTGGGGGCAGGAGCCCCGGGGGCCAGGGCCAGGCAAGCCAGGTACCACATCTGGCCCCTGGGCCTAAAGGCACGTCCACACAGCCGAAATAAGCTACGCTGCTTGAGCTACGTCAGTTGCGTAGCTGAAGTGGAAATGGCTAATTTTGGCTTTTGGCACTGTCTCCACAGCCGGAAGTCCAAGATCTTCCTCCAACTTCCCTTATGCCTTGTAAAATTAAGTTCCAGGCATCGGAGTGAGAAGTCCTCCAGCTTGTCGTTCTTTTGACATGAGGTTGAAATAACGGCTTGTAGTGTAGACACGGGCTGTGTTATTTTGAAATAATGTCAGTTATTCCGAAACGACGCTGCGGTGTAGACGTACCCTCAGGTTCCCCACCCCGGCTTAAAGCCAGGAGAGGATTTGCTTGTGCTGCCTTTCTAAGCATGAGATCGCTTTTTGAATTTAAGTGCAATCCAGGGTCCACCTCAAACCCAAATCCCCTGGCCCCGCCCCCTTTGTGCCTCTTCTCTGAGGCCGCGCCCCTGCTCACTCCATCCTCCCTCCTTCCCCCATCCTACTGCACTTTCACCAGGCTGGGGCAGAGGATTGGGTGTAGGTTCTGGACTTGGATTAAGGGATTTGGAATACGAGAGGGGCTCTGAGCTGAGCTCGGGGCAGGCAGTTGGGGTGCTGGAGGGGTTCTAAGTGCAGGCTCCCGGAGGGCGTTTGGATGCAGAAGTGCTCAGGGCTTGGGGTGCAGGAGGAGGTTCCTGACTGGGGCAGGGGTTCAGGATGTGGGCTCCGACTGGGCCCTGCTTTCTTCGGGTGGCTCCTGGGTGGTGGTGCCGTGGGGCTAAGGCAGGCTCACTCCTGCCCTGGCCCTGCACCACTCCCGGAAGCAGCCAGCAAACTCCCTCCAAGTCCTGTTGTCCCCACTCTGTAGAAAAAGGATACAGGGTGGGAGAGGGGGAACTCTGACACCAGCACCCTTCCTCTTCCTCCCCAGAAAGCTCCCAAGGGCAGGAGATGAGTAGCAGTGGGGGGCAGGGCACTTGAAGTGCCTGCACTTGACAGCCTCTAGGCCAAATCAGTCAGACTCACCTGTCAGAGGCTCCAAGGTTTACCTGGAGATCCCAATCTACTGGTTGGAAACCACTGTTCTAACTTAATACCTGACAGACTGATACCCTGCCTGGCCATTCAACAATACTCTTCACCCCTCTGGCGTATGTTCCCTGTAAGCTGAGTGCTTTAATAGCCACCCAGGAAAGATTCCAAGTGCCCACAGCTGACAGCATGTTTCTACTAGTGGTGCATATCTGCACATGCATCATTTGTCATGCATAACATTTATTCAACCTGTGGATGGAAAAAAAAATTAAAGAAAACATTGCTGTTGACCTCCAACATAAAGAGGGCATAGGGACACAGCCACAAAGTGTTACTGTAGGAAAAGTTTATTAATCCAAAATAATCACTGATTACTGGAGCCTGCTCTTCACACCTCCATCATTACTGCACATAGCTTAGCTACGTTTAAAGCTGAGGGGCAGATTTCAACTTCACTGCCCCCTTGTGGAGATTTTGCCATGCAAGATGGGCTGTAACCAGCAGAGGCCTTACAGGTGCTGCAGAAGGAAGATCAAGGTTGTGTCCCACAGTAGTTGCATTTCTCACAGGTCAGGGAAGGCCCTGAGATTTTTTCCCCCTCCTACTCCCACTTAGTCATTACACTCTGTCTTGCAGAAAGAACTTGCCCCAGTATCGCCCCCTCTGTGCCAGGTCATAGGGGCTCAGCACCTTGCGGATTCCCAGCATGTTGGAGGTGATAATACGTTCAAAAGTCCATGGATTTTGGTTGTTGCGTCTTCTCTCCTCTTCTGCCTGCCGCATCTCCTCCAGGGACTGGCGGCTGACTGCCTTGGCTGGGAATGGCAGCTTCTTGGCCACTTGTGTGAGGAAGTGCTCCACCTCCCCAAACTCACAATGCCCACCCACTTCCAAAATGAGGCGGCCACATTTCACTGCTGTCACATAGTGGTCAATGGCACCTTTTCCCCCACCCATACGATGGCCTAGGCTCTTGCGAGTGATAGGCTTGTAAGGGGCTGGGACACGCCATACTGCGAACATGATCTTGGGATCCAGGTGACGGTTGATAGTTAGGCGTATCATTTCAAAGTGACCCCAGTGGAGGTAACCCCCGCCCAATGCCTGCAAAGAGAGAGGAAAGCAAGCAGGGGAGGAATTATGACTCAGATATAGACAAAGAGGCTTCTGAAACCCATTTACAGTGCTCATATCACTTCCAAAAGGCACGTCCACACAGCCGAAATAAGCTACGCTGCTTGAGCTACGTCAGTTGCGTAGCTGAAGTGGAAATGGCTAATTTTGGCTTTTGGCACTGTCTCCACAGCCGGAAGTCCAAGATCTTCCTCCAACTTCCCTTATGCCTTGTAAAATTAAGTTCCAGGCATCGGAGTGAGAAGTCCTCCAGCTTGTCGTTCTTTTGACATGAGGTTGAAATAACGGCTTGTAGTGTAGACACGGGCTGTGTTATTTTGGAATAATGTCAGTTATTCCGAAACGACGCTGCGGTGTAGACGTACCCTCAGGTTCCCCACCCCGGCTTAAAGCCAGGAGAGGATTTGCTTGTGCTGCCTTTCTAAGCATGAGATCGCTTTTTGAATTTAAGTGCAATCCAGGGTCCACCTCAAACCCAAATCCCCTGGCCCCGCCCCCTTTGTGCCTCTTCTCTGAGGCCGCGCCCCTGCTCACTCCATCCTCCCTCCTTCCCCCATCCTACTGCACTTTCACCAGGCTGGGGCAGAGGATTGGGTGTAGGTTCTGGACTTGGATTAAGGGATTTGGAATACGAGAGGGGCTCTGAGCTGAGCTCGGGGCAGGCAGTTGGGGTGCTGGAGGGGTTCTAAGTGCAGGCTCCCGGAGGGCGTTTGGATGCAGAAGTGCTCAGGGCTTGGGGTGCAGGAGGAGGTTCCTGACTGGGGCAGGGGTTCAGGATGTGGGCTCCGACTGGGCCCTGCTTTCTTCGGGTGGCTCCTGGGTGGTGGTGCCGTGGGGCTAAGGCAGGCTCACTCCTGCCCTGGCCCTGCACCACTCCCGGAAGCAGCCAGCAAACTCCATCCCAAGTCCTGTTGTGCCCCCCACTCTGCTCTGTGGAGAGAGGTGGGGGGGGCACTGTGACATCAGCGCCCCTTTTCTCTCTCCCTTGCCCTGCACAGCAAG